AACCCGTGGCCCCTGCACTCCGCCGACGCAAGAGCGAGCAAGATCTTCTTCTTGTCGTCCAGGACGCGGAACCATCGGCTCTCGCCGAAAAGAGCGTCGGCCGCGGCCGCGGTCGGCATCTTCACCTGGTTCCGCAAGCAATACTCGAGAATGCCCTTCTGCCAGCCCACTGGCAGGGCGCGCGTTTGAACCGCCTCCCGCTGCAGAATGGCATCGTCGATGTAGTCCGACCACACCGTCGCCGAAGCCTCCGCAAAAGCCTCGAAGGGAGGGCCGCGGATCTGCCGTGCCTCGACGCTCTCTGCGAACACGCGGAAGAACTCAGTCCCCGACTCCATGTTCAACAGGGCGCCCCCGCGCGCCGCCAACAGCCACCTGCTGCACTTGCTGAAAGGCGCGCCGTAGTCCGCCGAGCCCACGACGAAGGTCAGACACTGCCACTCGTCGGTTTCCTGCAATTCGTCGTGCGGGATGCTCTCCCCCGGCCCGTCCGTGCTCTCCACGAGAACGAGCTCGCTGTTCTGCGCCGCATACTGCAGGAGAATGCTGGCCGCGCTGGCGCCGCTGGCCCCCGGGCGCCTGAACGAACAGCTCCCCAAGAGCAAGGCTGGGCCCCCCCATGGCGCGCGCAGCAGCACCTCTGGGGAGGCCGCCGATGCCCCGGATTCCGTCGTCCACGCTCCGCCCAGATCCGCCTAACGGCGCGCACCACCTCGCGAACACTTCAGCGCGCTGATTCGCCATGGTGCTCTTAGCCGCGTCCGTGCGGCAGTGGGCAGCGATGCGAAAACCCTCCGACAAGAGACCGTGCTTCTGGAACACCCTCTGCAATTCCGTGAGCACGGGCGCCGCGACGAGCATTCCGTCGCCAAGCGCCGCCACCGAGAGCGCCTGGGGCATCGATTCCGTGACGTACGCGGCGTGCTCTTTGAGGACGGGGGGCATATAGGCGCCCACCCACTCCCCGAAGAATCGCAGCGCATGTCCACTAGCAACCGCGGCTGCATCGATCGCCTTCGGGGCTGGCCAAGCTGGCAACCAGTCATCTCCGATGACCTCGGGGTCTTCCTCGCGCGGCTGCTCCTCCTCTCCGAGCTCGCCGCCGTCGCCGCCGCTCTCCTCGGCAAGCTGGCACAGGTCGTCAGCCTCCGCCTCCGCGTCCGCGGCCGCCGCGTCGGCCTCTACTTCCGACGACGCCTTGCCGCGCTCCTCGCTCACTGCCCGACCCTCTCGGTCGCCGCCGCCAGCGGCGCCCTCGCGACGCACGGGGTCTGCCGAGGCGTCGTCTTCGGCGCGCCCAGCAGCGCCAGCTTCCGGCGCACCTTCCAGCGGCCCTCGAGCTTCCTCCTCGCCCGCTGTCACAGCCGCCCCCGCGGCTTCCCTGGCACTCGAAGCGGCCGCCGGCCGCCGAAGAGCGGAGGCCGCGGCCGCCCTCTTACCCGCACTCGAGGCCGGCGCCTCGGCCGGCCTCTTCTCGGCCCCGCTGGCGATGGACGACGGCGCCCGCCTGGATAGGCGCGCTCGGAGCGGCGACGAGCCTTCTACAGTGCTGGCCCGCGCCGCCGCAGGCGCCACGAAGTTGTCGAGGTCGAGGCGCCCCCAGCGGCTCCCATCCGGGAGCTTCGGCAGTTTTTTCGGGGCCATCAGCCGCGCCGAAGCGGGCCGCGCGCCGAGGCGGCCCGGCCGCGCGGGCCCACTGCGCCGCGCGCCTTGAGCCAGAAAACTCTGGAGGGCAGCCTACTGACCCCATCGGGGCCCTCTCGAGGCCCCCCCGCGGTTCCCAAGGCACATGTCCACGGACCAAACAAAAGCCTGCCTGGTTGTCTCACTGCCCGCCCTCCGCAAGGAGTGAACCAGATAATGAATATTATGGCCCTGGTCTTTCTCACCCCTTCCTCCCCCCGCCCCCCTCTCTTCCTCCTCCCTTCCTTCTCCCTTCCTCCTCCCAGTATCCCCTCTCCTCCTCCCGCCCTCCTCTCTTCCTCCTCCCCTCTTCCCCCCTCCCTCCCCCCTTTCTCCTTTATTCATCCTCCCTTCCTCCTTCCTTACTCCTCTGTACCTCCCCCCTTACTCCTCTATTCCTCCTCCCTTCCCCCCTTCCTTCCACCCTCTTCCCCTCTTCCTCCCCTTCCGTGCTTCGGGCCGATCGGGGATTCGACTTTTCTGTTCCGTGGATGGGAACATGATCTACCTTTGTAGGCTCTGTTTACCTGTTGCAGGAGCGTGCCTATTGCTTCCATTCGGTCTCGTGCGCCTTTGCTGCTGCTGCTGCTGCCGTTGCTGCTGCCACGCCAGGGGCCCAGGAGCGCCAGGCGAGCGAGCTAATCCGAGTCAAGGGGCGGCAACTGGCCCGCCACGCAGGCAAGTGGCAGCAGCAGCAGCATCAGCAGTAGATCTGCCAACGGCCGAACCCCTGGCATCTGTAAAATGGTCGTCGTCCTCCTCCTCCTCCTCCTCCTCCTCCTCCTCCTCCTCCTCTTCCCTCCCCCCATCCTCCTACCCACCCATCCTCTTCCTCCTACAGAGCGAGGGGGGGGAGGGAGAGCAGCAACAAGAGCAGCGACGTTGTCGCGACAAACCTCAATGTAGCAAGTCATGCAATCCGCATCAACACAACAGCAAATAATACGCACAGCACGCATGGGCGAAACAAACACAAAGCATGAGTCGGGCGAAAGATAAGAAAACAGCAGCAACAACCAGAACCTTCGGCGGACAGGAACCGCTCTTGCTCTAACAGGGCGCGCCCTCGGCGCGCGAAGACTGGCTTGAAACGCTGGCAACTGGCAGCAGCAGGAGCAGCATCCGCAGTTGATCTGCCTACGGCCGGCCCCCTGGCAGGTGTGCGATGGCCCTCCTCCTCCTCCTCCTCCCCCTCCTCTTCCCCCTCCCCTTCTCCCCTCTTTTCCTCCTCCCCATCCACGGATCCCGATTCGCCTGCCTGGGGCGGCATCGGTGCAAGTTTCAAGTCTGTTGCGTCCTCGTGGACGCGCCCAGCAGAGTACGGCAAAACCCTCCTGCGTCTCCTGCTCCTCCCCCGCCTTGCTTTCCCCCCCATCCTTCCTCATTTTTTTGCAGAGCGAGTGTCAGACTCCCCTCGACTAAGCACATCGCTCGCATTGTCCGTAGCAAACTTCCGAAGCTGGAAAAGCAAGGCCTGTGGACAACCCCCGTGAGAGACCGCCACGGGCTGTCACTGCGCCATTCCCCTGAACTCTAAACCGAGCGTCAGCCCGCAACTCGCAGCGCATATCTCGCGCGCTGGACCTCCCCCCGCCGCCTCGCTCTATCTCCTGCGCCCCCCTGCCTCCCGCGCCCCTCTCGTCTCAGCGAGGCGGCCCCTGGGCGCCGGCCGCTCGACTGGAGAGCGCGCCAGGCGCCCCCGCCGCAAAGAAAAACACCACCGCGCCCCCGGACTCCTGCAGCGCGCACCTACGCGGCCTTGCGCGCGGACTTGCACGCAGGGGCGCCGCCAATGCTGGCACTCTTCGCCGCCAGAACCGCTGGGGAATGCGGCGTCGCCTTTGGAAACGACGCCGCGTCGCCCACCCTGGCCCTCTTGGCGGCCCCGGGCGCAGCCCGGGCGCACCCTTTCTGGTCAGTGCCGCCGGCCCCGCTCCCAGGCGCGCTGTCTGCTGCACCGCTGGCGCCCTCCGCCTCGCTCTCCCCGCTCACTGCGCGGCCGGCGAGGATCGCCTTCCCCGCGTTCAGAAGGATCTCGGGGATCAGGCGGCCCTCGAGCGCGGGAAACTCCTCCTTCGTCTTGTCAGGCTCCTCTGCGACGCTGATGAGGTTCTTCATGGCATCGCGGACCTTCTGCTTCTGCTGGGTCAGAATCCTCGACTGGCCTTTCGCCTCCCAAATCTACGACGTCACGTTCGCGCACCAGGCGACCAGGAAGAGCCGCTGTCGCAACTGTGACGTCATGGAGTCCACCTGCGACTCAAGATGGGGGTCGCGGTACACCTCCTTTAGGAGAGAGAAGCCACCGATCACCTGGAGCGAACGCGGGGTGGCGAGGAGGAGCCGCGGCGGAATGTACTGGGAACGAGGGGAGCTCGGTGGGATGAGACAGCGGGGGACTGGTGAAGGAACACGAGGAGCTGGGGAAGTCGGCGAACAAGGATCTGCGCACCTTGTTGACAGCATCAACCATCTTCCCACCCTTGCCGCCGAAGGTCTCCGGCATGTCCACGGTGCCACCGACAACCTTTAAGAACTCGGCCGCTTCCTGCAGCGTCTCGGGGATGGGGCCCCTCTCAAGAAGCTCCTTCGCGGCGCGCACGGCTGGCTCGGCGTCGAACCGCTTGACGGAGCGTTCAGCCCGCTCCTGCGCGACTTTCTCCAGCCATGGCACGGCCTGCGCGTGCAGCTCCTTGCTGGCCCCCACTGCTGCCTCCACATCTTCCAGAGAAGCGTCGAAAGTCTTCGCGATGACCGTCTGGAAGGCGCGCTCCGGCTGCACCATGTCCCCGATGTCCCCGAGCTGGCGCACGGCGTCGCTCGCGTTCTCCCACAGCTCCAGGTTCAGCTCGCCCCCGGCCTGCTCGGCAAGCTCCTTGGCGTCGGCGACGGCCGCGACGCTGCACAGCCACATGTCCGCTTCCTTCCAGGTGTCCTCGGGCGGCTCCGCGCTCAGCAGCTTGGAGATATTCAAGAAGGCCTGCAATTCCTTCCGTTGCCACGCCGCCGAGTCCACGCGCTTCAGAGACTGTTATGCTGCACCCTTGGCTCTGGCCAGAACGCTGTGGCCCAAGGCCCTGCGCACGCGCGCCGCCGTGCCCAGCGCGAGGGAGAACAGCGACTGCAGCCCCTCTACGTTGTCTTCCGCAGACACTGTCACGCCAGAGACCTTCAACAACGCCTCGGGGCTCTCCTTCAAGAGGTCGCACAACCGATTGGCTGTCTTCACTGGCTGCTTCATCCCAGGTACGTCGAGACGGCTGTGCGCGGCGATGTCGGCGATCTTCTTCAATGCCCCGAAGGCGGTCTCGTGGGGGCCCTTGATGCCATCAGGCGCCCACTCCTCGACGGTCGACCAGCCGTGCTCCAACTCCAGCCGCTCGACGCACGCGGCAGTCAGGAGCTCCTCTGGAGAACGCGTTTCGGCGCCCAAACTACATTGAGAAGGCGCGCTGCTGCAGCACCTCTGGCACAAGGTGTTCTCCTCATCATCCTCCTCCCTCCTCCGCCTCCACTTCCTCCTGATCGTTCTGGCGGTCCCGGGTCCGGGGGTGGTTCATCTGTCTGCGTCCTGTTTCTCGCTATCGGACAAGGAATCTTCCCTCAGGCCTGCTGCGGCTCGCCCCACCTCCTCGCGGGGCGAGCGCAAGAGCAACCCGAAGACCACGTCCTCGAACGCCGTGCCTCGACAGGAGGCAAACACAGGCAACGGCGAGGTCAAACATCCCATGCTCAAGTAGGAGAAAATAAGGCGCGCCGCAGCAGCACCGGCCAAACTAAACCCAATGGCGGATCGGAAACCCTCGAACCTCATCGAACGGACTCGCGATCTTGCGGAGGCCCGCCCGCGGCCTTCCCTGGCGAGTTGGTGCCGGTCGGCCTCCTGCAGCGCGCCCGCCTTGGACGCGGCCTCCTTCTGCTTCTTGCAGGCGCGCGACACCTCTCGGTCCAATTCTGCCACTGCTCCCCGGCGGCATGGCCCGTCACCTGCGCGGAGAGCTCCCGGGCTGCCTGGGCGCACTGGAGAGCAGCCTCCTCGTGGGACCGCTTCTTCATGGCCGACTCCGCCCAACCAACGAGGACTTTGCCGCCCGGGCTCGTGTTCAAAGCGACGCCCAAGGCCCCCTCCAGCTGCGGGAGCGCCTCCAGCGCCTCCCCCACCTCAGTCAGCGGGGCAGTGCTCGCGCGCGACACTGCCCAGAGACCTTGGATTTGACCCTTCAGCTCCTCCTCCCACACTGGCCGCGCAGGGTCGGCGGGGGCCCGCTGGAGAGCATCCCGCGCGGCGCCAGCGAAGGCAACCGCGGCAGCAAACGATCCGCCTCCCTTCTTGGCGTCCGACTTCGCGACGGCCGAAATCAGGCCCGCGCCGACTCGCTCGAGGGTCGTCGTCGCGAGATCTGCCGAGGGCGCGCCATCTGCAGCGCCGCTTTCCAACAGGGACATCAGCTGTAACCAATCGCAGCGCTTGATGGCCTCGTCTGCCTTCCAGCTCCTGAACCGCATGTGGTGCGCCACGCCGAACGCGATGTCCTCCGCCGCGGCGATCTCGGTGTCTTTCAGGAGAGTCTCGGTGTTCCCTGGCTTCTCGCTCACAGCAGCCTGCGGACTCCTCCGCCTCCTCTGGTCCCCCATCGCTCAATCTTCTTCCTCCTCCGCTTCCGCCGCCTCCTTTGAACTGGGCCGGGGGCCTCCAAGCCCCCGTTCACAAAGAGGAATGAACAACTGAATGCGCACTGTAGCCCCCTCCTCCCTTCCTCCCCCATTCCTCCTCCCTTCCTCCTCCCTTCCGCGTCCCTTCCTCCTCCCTTTCTCCTGCCTTCCGCCTTCCTTCCTCCTACCCCCCCTCCTGCCTTCCCCCTCCCTTCCTCCCTCTCCCCCTATCGTCCTTCTCCTTTCCTCCTCCCTTCCTCCATCGACGACGACGACGACGACCACGAACGCGACCACGACCGCGACCACTCCGCCTTGACGACCCGCACTGCCGCGGCCAGCGCCTCCTCTGGGCGCGCCAGCCACGCCTTGTTGATCTGCAGCGCCTGCGCGCCGTCATCCGGGATCTTCCCCATCTTGGCCGCTGCCTTCTTGGCCGTGTGGATGGCGCTCTCTGCGGCTGCCGCCTGCTCAAAAGCCGTGGCCTTGAAGTGGGCTCTCCCCTCCTCGTGGACAGGTCCACATCTCCGCTGAAGTCGAGCAATTTGTAACACTCCCGGAACGTGTTGAAGAGCGCGTCGGCCTCGCCCTTGAGTTTCCTGCCGGCCGCTGCGAGGCTGAATTCGAGGGCCTTCCGCCCCCTCTTCTTCGACGCGGAGCCGTCCTCGAGAGGTGCTGGCTCGTCCGGCTGCCCGCCGCCCTCGTCGGAGTCGTCGGGCGGCTGGGCGAGCAGGGGCGCGGCCCACGAACCGCCGCTGCCACGCTTCTTCCCTGGCTGGCTCCGGCCCGAGCGCTGCGGGGTCGCCAAGGGCGGACTGGCGCCGCTGCCGTCGGCTGGCTGCGCCGAGGGCGCGGCCGTCTGAGCAGGGGCGCGGGCGGCTGACCTCTTCGGCGGCGCCTGCGCCGAGGGCGCGGCGCACTTCGAAGGGGCAGCGGCTGCGGGCGTGGCAGCCCCTTTGGCGGCAGGCCTCTCGGCTGTCTGGGCGGGGCGCCCGGACGTAGCCCCCCCGGTCGTCTGGGCTGGTGGTCTGGCCTGCGGCTTGGTCGCAGCCTTGGGCGCGGGCTTGGCGGCGCGGGCCGTGCCCCACAGGCCCGACAGCGCCGCGGCCACGAGATCCGTCTCTTCGGCGTCCTCGTCGCTCGCGGGAGAGTCGGACTGGTGCCCCTCCGACGGCGCGCTCTCTGCTGCACCGATATCCGCGCACTGCGTGGCGCGCCGCAGGGCTGCAATTGGGGCCACGGCGGCCTCGGCAGCAGCCGCAACCTCAGCCGCGTCCGCGTCGTCGTCTGACTCGGCCAGTCGCCAGCACCGTCCTGTCCTCCACCTTGCGATCGTCGTAGTCCGCGATGTCGTACAAGAACTTCTTCGCGCCGTCCTTCATGACATATACAACCTGCCAGTAGGAGAGCAGAAAGGGAGGGCATTTCAACGATGAAGGAAGCGAGTGGGAAGACGACTTGGCAGCGCGCCTCCTGCCAGGCGCCGTCGATGAGCTCCTCGCCGCGACAATTCGGGTCCGTGGACAGCGGCGTCTCAGGGAAAGCCTCGTGCCACTTGCTCACGGGGCAGGCTTGATGCCAGTTCGCAGACAGGCGACGCCCGGAGACCTTGACGGAAGATACCTGGCGAGCCTGCTGGATGTCTCCCGCGGCCTGCCTGGACATGCGGCGGCGCTTCTCTGGGTCCTTCCCCGCCTGGCTCTGGACGTACGCATCCACCTTGAGCCGCACGGTCTGCGCCCGGCCCGCATCCTGGCGCACCCACTTGATGTACTCCTTCAGCGGCTTCTTCTCGCCGCCAGGCAAGTGGGGGCCCAAGAGCACCGCCTGCGAGAGAGAGAAAGAGAGAGAGAGAGAGAGAGAGAGAGAGAGAGAGAGAGAGAGAGAGAGAGAGAGAGGGGGCTGGACCAAGTCGGAATCGCGTCGGACATGGGTCGGGGCCGCGCGGGACTCGAGTCGCGTCGGGCCCCGTGCAGGATAGGCCGGGCGGGGCACCCCTGCGGATCGAGCGGAGGTGGAATGTCCAACGGCAATGCTCGAAGTCGCCTCGCCGCGACCAGAAAAAAATGCATTCCTCTGCCGGTTGCCCTTTTTCTCTTGCGCGGAATTGCAATGCGCTGAATTTAAAATTGCATCTTTTTGTTAATTTATTGAAAAAAATCATTTCCCCCCCAAAAAAAGTTATGTTCACCAAAACCACTTTTATGTTCACCAGGGCGATTTTATGTTCACCAGGGCGGTTTTATGTTCACCGGCCGGAAATTCAAAAAACAATTATGTTCACCAAAACCACTTTTATGTTCACCAGGGCGATTTTATGTTCACCAGGGCGGTTTTATGTTCACCGGCCGGAAATTCAAAAAAACAATGGGAAATAGAAAAACAAATCAGAAATAGAAATTTGCAGCCCGCGCGGGCAGAGAAAAATTGAAAGCGGCGGGCTCGATTTCAGCGAGATGTCCCTTGCCCGCCTGCCTTCTTGCGCAACAGGGCCTTGCAAACCAGGCACAAATAGCCCGTGGCCTGGCGGATCATGCTGCCATGGTCGGTGTGGTACTTCCACGGCCAGTATCCGCCGAACTCGTCCTCGTTACTCGCCTGGGGACACGGGCTCGGGTCCGTGCTCTCGTGGGCGCAGAGACCGCACGTGAAGCTGGAACCATCCTTCTTATTGAAAGGTTTCACCAGATAGCCAGCCCACTGGCCAACCACCACGAGGGCGACCTGAGAGGAAACGGGAGCCAAGAGGGAGGAAAGGAGGCGAGGCGAAAGAAAGGAAGGACATAAGGAAGTGCACAATGACGGGGGCCCCTCGACCTCGAGGCCGTGCAGCATGCGGCCCCGCCGCAACCCCGAGGCCAGGGACGGCGCTTTCTCCGTCTCCCCGTCGGTGTCGGAAGGCGATGCCTTCACCGTCTCCGCGCGGGACATCGCGGGGAGCGAGGGGGCGGGCGCGGCGGCGGGCAGCGAGGCGCTGGCGCGGACGGCAGCTTAGCCGCAGCTCGGGAACAATGATGCGCCGAGAGACGCGGCGAAACAGCGATTGGAGCAACGATCAGGCGACAGCTGCGCGATTGCAGCGGGCGGCCGCGGCGGCGACAACGGCTCTGAGAAATGCACTTTTACACGCCTACGCTTCGTATCTGTCCTGGCGGGAAGATCACCCGCCACTGGCCCGCCTCTCCTCCGAGTCCCTCCAAGGCTGGCTCTCGGGCATGCCCTCGAGGACCGCGCGAGCAGCGGCGATCTGCGCTGGCGTGGGCACCTTTTGTTTTTGGTCTGCCTTGCTCCCGCATCCAGGGGCCTCCCCCAACCACCACCACAAAGCGGCCAATGGTCTGACCCTCGATTGCTGGTTCCATGAACAGCCTGGATGGAGGCCACAGACGGCGCGCATGTCGTAGACGGCGAGGGCCTCGTTCTCGACAAGGCGAATGTAGTGAGGACGGCCAGCCCCAGCGGGATGTGGGAGCTGCGGGTATCGGGCGACGCGCGGGCGCCTCGGCGCGCCCGGGGGGCGGCGGCGGCGCCGCCGCCGCAGCGTGGCCGCCCAGCGGCCCGTGCGCCAGAGCGGCGTCCGGCGCTGCTGCGGGAGGCGCCTCCGCTGGCGCGCCTTCTGCTGCGCCCTGCGCCCCGCGACCTCTCTGCCGCCAGGCGGCGGCGG